GACTTGCTATTCAAAGCCTCTTTGGAAATGCTCTGGGACTAGTGTTTTATTGTGTTGCACCTCTGTTCCTTTCTCAACATCCACTCCTCTATAACTCTCCCACCAAACTGGGAGTTTTCAAGTCCTGAATTCATGCAGAGAACAGTCTCTGGCTTTGAAGTCTCAATCCTGCTGCCTGTCTTTCCACCGTGATTGCCCCCTTCAGGCCTCACTGGCTGAAACACCGATGCCCCTGGGAGGTCCTCGTGGGCCCTGTGGCCAGCACAGTAGTAGTCAGGGATTGACTGACACACCACTGAGGGTAAGAGTGAGGGCCCAGGTAGAGAAGAAGAGATGGGGGGAGAATTGATCTGCTTCCAGAGGCCGAGGGGACAGGGGACAGGGAACTCCACAGGAAAGGTGGGAGAGAGTTAAAGATGCGGCACCACCATTCTTTCAGGAGCCTGAAGCTAGTCACTTCCTTTCAGCACTCTCTGCAGGCTTAGCCTTCCCATCACCTCCCAGGGTTTCTGGCTTTGTCTGGAAAAAATGTTAACCACCTCTTTACAAGCGCTGTCACTAATGTCCTGGCCAGAAGACTATGTACAGCACAGAGGAACATGGTGCTCCTGGGGGCAGGCTGAGTGGGCAGCCTCCATTGAGAGCACTCATGGGCAGCCAAGGAAGAGACCACAGGCCCACCCCCCAAATCCTCAGCTCCCTGCTCCCTCCCAGCCCTGCTGTTCTCAGAATTTCACCATCAGTGAACACCGCCCTAGGTGGGTTAATCACCCAGACTGGACATGTGGGTGTTTGGGGAGGGAGGACCCAGAGAACTGTGTCCCCAGGAAGAACACAGTTCCTGGGAAAGGGCTTAGAGCTTTTCTGCTGATAGGAATGACTCCAGGAGAGTGAGGATGTTGGGCTCCAGCTGGAGGAATTAGGAGGTGCTGAGAGAAAGGAGATTCTAGCAGACAGAACAGGCAATTCATCTTCCTGCCTTCCTGGAGGCCCTCATTTCATCTGGCTCTGTCCCACACAGTGCATTGCCCTGGATCCAGAGAATCAGAAATCATTAGAGATGGACAACTCAGTCTCGGGAATCATTCAGTCCTACTCCCTTATCTTATTCTCTCAGACTCTGAGCCCCAGACAGACACAGGTGCTTGGCCAGGGTGGCATGTACTGAGCACTGGGTGCATTCTCGTTGAGGCAGGGTGTTAGGTGCTCAAATGCTGTTGGTTCATCCAAGAGCCTTTTCTTGACTAGCTTCCATGCCCATCGAAATTAGGTCCTTTGGTCTTTTTCTCATCATAGATGGGAATGACCCACTATTTTGTGTGATTTTTTAAATGCCTGCCACCCACATTCACCTGAAACTTCCATGAGGGCAGGCAGCTTCCTTCACTATATCTCCAGTGCCTCATACATGACCTACATTTATTGACCACAGAAGCTCTGTTCCCAAAGTAACCCCATAAGAGAAGCATTACACCCATTTTACAGATGAAGAAACTAGGGCTTAGACAATTCGAACAAAAGGGAAAAGCAAGATTCAGCTGTGGATCTGAATGACCCTTTTCCCCATGCTGGACTATTTTTCTAACAAAAGATTTAATAGACTTACAAGACTGCCTGAAGCTAGGGGCTTGGTTTATGCTTTTTCAAATGAGACATTCTAGGACCAGATGTCCCAAGACCATTCTCTGTAAGAGAAGAGGAAGCATCATCTTAGGGCTGAGGGAAGCTCAGAGCCAGGGGCCCCTGGTCTTGCTGAGCCAGGCACAAGTGTGGGACCCACAAGCACCAGCGGTCAGAACAGGTGACAGGTCAGGGGTCCAGGCAAGGAAGACAAGGCTGAGGACCACACAGCCGGAGAGAATCCCTACTCAGCACCTGGGGAGGCAGACAGACAGGAATATCTGTCTGACAGGACTATTAGAGAGGGCCAGCCTCCAGGGTGCAGCCAGCCCAAAGCTAGGGGCTTGGGGAAAGTCCCTGCTCTATGGAAAGGGCTAGAACAGTCTGACAATGAGTCTCAGCTCTGCTCTCACCAGCTTGGGTGAGTTATTATGCTCTCTGAGCCTCGGTTTTTTCATCAAAAATATAGGATGATGCTAACCCCTCTGCCTCTCAAGCAGGACACATGAGACAAGCCCAGGCCAAGCATTTGGCACAGTGCCCGAGATACAGTGAGCATCCGGACAATGCTGGTTTCCTTAGGTTCTTCCTTCAAGGACCCCTCTTCCCAATTTGGGGCCCCTCTCAGTCTTTAGGCTAAGTGGTTAAACCTGGCTATCAAGGCAGGTAAGAGGCTGATGGAGAAAGCAGATCCTGAGAGAGGACGGAGCTCTCGGACCTGAAAGCATCCAACTTCAGGGTCTGTGCTTACTTACAACCAGACCTCAAAGCCTAGCACACAGCCTGGCACGAGGTTGGCACTCAGTGGGCTCAGCTAAGTGAACAGGTCCAACCAAGCGTGTGAGAGAGGTGCTGTGTTCTTACCGCTGGCCTGATCTCGGTCATTCACGTCCCACTGACTGTGACATAGGAGTAAAAGCATGGGCTCTGGAACCCGCCATTTGTTGTGTTACCTTGTACCTTTTCCTTAACTAACAAGTTTGCTCACCTGTTAAATGGGTTGCTGCACCAGCTTGTTGAGGGGATTGACTGAATAAGTGTAAAGCACTTAGAAGAGTGCTGGGCAGGTAGGAGGCTCTCCATCAGTGTTAGCCATTACTACCACTAAGAGTCTACTGCCAGGCTTTGGGCACCTGGCTGTGAGCAAGACAGACATGGTTCCTGCCTTTACAGAGCTGTCAGTCTAGTGGAGACAATGGATCAGGAAATAGCGATCATAAGAAAATACGGTGAGTGGTCCAATAAGGGGAAGTTCAGGGTGCCCTAACCTCATAGCAGAGGAAGTGGATTTACTCAGTTACCTGACTAATCTCTCCACATGACCAGACCTGGGAGCAGCGTAGGGCAGAAAGTGCTTCAAGCAGGAAGGATAAATTGCAGTAAGATTTGAACATGGCAGGTGCAAAGAACTGAAAGAGCGCCCGTTTGGTGAGACAGAGATGGTGAAGAGGGGGGAGGACATAGATGCAAGCAGGACCCAGACCATCCAGACAACAGCAAAGGGAGGAAATGATCCCAAAAGAGCAGAGAAGAATCAGGTCCAGGAGGAATAATCCCCTGCCCTGGCCTTGTCCTTCAGCCCTTGGCATTGCCCTTAAAACTGTGAAGGGGGAGCAGGATTCCATATGACAAACTTCTCGCACCTGTTAAAGGGTGAGCATCCCGAATTCTAAAATCTGAAATCCAAAATGCTCCAAATCCAAAACTTTTTGAGCACTGACATGATGCTCAAAGGAAATACTCACTGGAGTATTCTGGATTTGGGATTTTCAGATTTGGGATGCTCAACCAGTATGTATAATGCGAATATTCCAAAAGCTGAAAAAGTCAGAAATCTGAAACTCTTCTGGTCCCACACATTTCAGATTGGGATTTTCAGATTTGGGATGCTCAACCAGTATGTATAATGCAAATATTCCAAAAGCTGAAAAAGTCAGAAATCTGAAACTCTTCTGGTCCCACACATTTCAGATAAGGGATAGTCAACCTGTACTCTGAATAGTCTCAGGAAATCCAATGGGACCCCAGCAGAGAAAGCCCCCTAGGGAACCTCAGAGTAGTCAGCAGGAAAAATATCCTTCATCCTGTGGAGAAACTTTATGGGACAAACCAGAGTATCATCCCTCCACAGCTAACAAACTAGGGACAACCCAGATACAAATGCTTAAGAATTAAGACAACACGGATGGAAAAACTTGGGAATAAAGACAGCCCCAAGACCAAAGAAAGGAAATGCAGCTGGCATGGTGGTTTCTCAACCTACAATGCATAGAGGGGGGAAGCAGTTTTAAGCATACTGACGTACCATAAAAGCATTCTTTTCCACTCAACACTAGAATAAAGTTATTGTTTTCCTTGGTTTTGTATTCTATCCTCCCCTTGTTGGCCACCTCCAGCCAAACCTAACCAGTAGAGAAGACGAGGTCTGTCCTTTCATCTTTGGGGCAGGGGATTAAATCCATGCTGGCCCCACATGGAGCCCAGCTTCCATCTGTAGTGAGGAAGTCCTTGCACATAAAGGTCTGTCTGCCCAGCTCAAGCTTGGAAAACACTGAGCTGAGAATATGGTGGGAATGAAAACGGACATGGCACATCACACACAGATCTCGGACCAAGTGGGAAACAAACTGCCATAAATGGGGTGCCATAAATGCCCCACTCTTCTTTCTCTGTAGCCAACATCACGAGGATTGGGACAAGAATTTGTACCACTCAGCAGAGCCTTTAAAGGACATGTCCCATTTTCAAATCAGATTTGATGACATTTCACGCTAAAGCAATTGGATTTCTCATAAAGTGCCCAAAGCCCTTTCAGGACGTTGTGGTTCTGAGCCAGGGTGAAGGATTACATGGAGGCTGGAAAAGTAGCTGGACCCTGGGAAGGATTTCGTGGGGATCAAGTGCAAGCAGACATGAATGGTATAACACAGTAAAAAATAAAAAAAAAAAATAAAGGACATGTCCCATTTTCAAATCAGATTTGATGACATTTCACGCTAAAGCAATTGGATTTCTCATAAAGTGCCCAAAGCCCTTTCAGGACGTTGTGGTTCTGAGCCAGGGTGAAGGATTACATGGAGGCTGGAAAAGTAGCTGGACCCTGGGAAGGATTTCGTGGGGATCAAGTGCAAGCAGACATGAATGGTATAACACAGGCACGCTTGCACCTCTTTCCAACTGCAAACAACTCATGTCCCGGGGCCTCAGCTTGCCTTTCTGTAGAATTCCGAGATTTCTGGGTATTTTCTTTGTCTTCCTCTCTCCTACGGTGTCTGTTTCTCATGTGTCCCACTTTGCTTCCCCAGCCTTCCATTCTACCCTGTGTCTAATGTGATGACATCCTAAGAAATTAGACCCCCCACAAAAAAGTTTTTACATACCTGTATCCTTGACTCTGTGGTATTTGAAAAATTATTTCAGATCCGTTGGTTAGCAAAGAAGACCAAGACTAGAGAAGACAGTCCCAGCTGTGCGGGAATAAAAAGCAAGGTCTAGCTCCCCTGGGTGCCTATTTGCATGGCCAAAGGCTGAAGGACTCTGGGTACTCGGCAGTAACCTCAGAAAAAGTCCCCTGGCAGCAGCAAATTTTCCAGTGTGGTTTTGAAACACCCTAGGAGGAAGAAGGCTCTTTAATCAAATAATAACCAGGCAGAGATAAGGCCTGCTAGGCTGAGCTCAGCCAACCAATCACATGCTTCCTTCCGACCACAAGGACAAGCAGACCCAGGCTTCTGGAGTGAGTTTCAGGGCTTGTTATAATTTAATGATGGGGGTGGTGTCTTCTTGGCAGCGTTGCTTGGTGGGGTTTTCTAACCAGGGAGTGAAGCTCTGAGCTCAATGACCTCCTTCTCAGTGGAGGTGCTGGGGCCAGGGGCTGCGGCTGAGCATCCTGAGTCACATGGGGCTCCAGGCTCCCATCCCGGCTGCTTCTAAATAACCAGAGAGTTCTCACTGCTGAGGGAAGCGAAGCTTGAGTGAGGCTGAGCAGTGCTGGGGTCTCCAAGGGTGGGGGGCAGGGGGAGCGGCCTTGACACCAGATGTGCAGTTCAATGACCGTGACCCTGAACAGGTCGTGGAAACCCTAGTGACTTGCTGTCACATGTTGGGGAAGCTTTATACCCATTTCCTATTTGTCTTTAATGGGTAGTGACTTTGGGCTTCTCTACTTCATCCTTTCCAGCCACCCTCCCCTTCAAAAGTTATCGTTGCTCTGTTAAGCTAGAAAAGGTATGAATAATGGCCCTACATCTTGCTAGCACTGTGACTTTGAACTTGTCAGTTAGTCCCTTCCTGGCCAAGTGGCTGCAAGGACTAAATGCATGAGAACTCCCCCAGCTCCTATCAGGCTCTTTCAGGACCTGAGAAGACATAAACAAACCCTTAAATGATAATGATATATTACAGTCCAGTATTCAAAGAAACTTAAGAGCAACCTTTTTGTTATGTAAATAACTATTCTTCAACAACTATTTATTCTGCCTGTACTATGTAAAAGACATGTTGATTACCGGGGGCACAAAGGGGAGCCAGACCTAACACAGTTCCCTGCCCTCATGAAATGCTGTTATAGCACAGGAGTAGGAGTTTATTAAAGAGGCTCTTGGTGCAATGGAACCAATGGCAGGGGCCCGTGGAAGGGACTTGTTATGAAGGGTATGGGCCTGTCCAAAGAGAACAAGGAAAAAGCCAGCAGGAAGTGGACAGGAAGTGGACCCAAGTCAGAGGGCCAAGTGCAGCCAAACATTCCCCAAGGGAACTCCCTGCAAGGTCCCTCCTGGGGAAAAAAAGAGAAAAAGCAAAGTTATTTCTCCACTCCTCTTTTTTAAAAAAGGAGCCTCATTGAGATATAATTCACAAACCATACAATTTAACCATCTAAAGTATATAAGTCAGTGATTTCTTATTCAGAGTTGTACAGTCATCAGCAAAAATCATTTTTAGAAAATTTCATAACCCCAGAGAGAAACCCCTTCCCATTAGCAGTCTCTCCTCCCCACCTAAAACCTCCACCAGCTCTGAGCAACTTTGTGTCTCCTATGAATTTGCCCATTCTAGACATTTCATAGAAACAGAATCATGTAATATGTAGACTTTGTGACTGGCTGCTTTCATTTGGCATGATGTGGTTTTTTTTGGTTTTTTGGTTTTTTGGTTTTGATTTATTTGTTGAACCAAAATTGATTATACATATTTTGGGAGTTCAACATTGAGATATGTTGATCAAATCAATATTACTAGCATATATATTGTTACAAATTGTACTTATTCTTTATGCCCCTTGTCCAATCTCTCCCAATCCCCCCCTCTCCCTTCTCCCACCACTGATAACCCTAGATTTCTTCTCTCCTTCTGAAAGAATAATGGATACTCTGTTAATTTGTTGCCTAGATGATCTGTCCAATGCTGAGAGAGGTGATCAGGTCCTCCAATATTATCATAGAGCAGATGCTTTATCTGTCACTCTCAAACGGGCTTTGTGGAGAGAGACATCCTCTTCTTTTCTTTATCTCTGCTGGTGACTTTCCTTGTGTCAATGCACTCCAGTGGTTGGTGGACCATCTGCGTGGGTTGTGGTGTCTAGCTGCTTTTGCGGCAGCCATGGTTATTGTGGTGGCTGTGGTGAGCCACCCACATGGAGGTGATGTTTTTGGCATGCTCCTTGGCACTGGCGGTATGCCTGGTTGTGACATGTGTCTGGTCCCCTTCTCCATGCCTCTCGTCCCCAGCTGGGCCCCGAGGTGCTAGCACAGTGTGCCTGGTTGTGGGAGGGGGGTCCGGTCACTGGCATGATGTTTTAAAGATTCCCTTCATTTTTTCGTATTGCTGAATTATATTCCATTGTATGAATGTACCACAATTTGTTTATTCATTTACCCATTGATGGATATTTGCTTTACTTCCACCTTTCTGCTGTTATGAAGAATGCTGCCATGGACATTCATGTATAAGTTTCCATTCCATTTTATCCACAAATTCACAACCCCATAGCAGGGAAACAAAGCAGGTGAGAGAACTAGCCATAAAGGGCTTCTCAATAACTAGAAGTTATGATACAGCAATAGCTGAATCAGACATTTGCACAAAATGTTATAGTGCATAAAACACAGTCATTCATTCTCTCTCGCATAATCCTTCCCTCAACCCTAGCAAGAAGAAGGTATTATTTCTATGGCCACTTCAAATATGAGGTCACAGAGAATCAGAAAGTTCGAGTAACTTGCCAAAAGCTGCCCAGCCAGGAACTGAAGTCAGAATTAAGTCCTATGTTCTTTCCACTCCAGCTCTTCATTCACACACAAAACATGGTTTTATTCCTCTCCTACATATTTAGTCTTGGCTTCCAGAATGCTTAGTTCAAGGAGAAAAAAAAAAAAAGAAGAAGAAAGAAATTTAAAAGGGTTTTATCATTATTGATGGAGAAAATGGCAATTAGGCCAACAAATAGTTGTTATGGTTAGCATCTTTCAAATGTTTATGTAAGGCTGAGAAAGGTTAGAAAGATCTTATCTAAAGGTTCAGAGCTAGTAAGCCAGCCATTAATGGTTCAAAGGCAGCTGGATATATGATTCCCAAACACAGGCTAGATCGGCTTGCTTTCTTGCTCACAGCTGGCTGACAGCAGTGCATCCCAGATGTCTCAGTTGTTCAGGTGGGAGAAAGGGTACTTTGGATGGGGGCACTGCAGGTCGGGGTGGGCCTAGATGCAGAAGACGCCATACATAGCAGGGGATGCAGAGGGGACTGGGACACATGAAAGCCTGAAGATGCAGGGCAAAATGGCTAGGAAGAGTGAAAAAGCAAAAGAGAAAACAGAGAGAACATTGGGAAGTTCCCACCGAAAGGCTGGCCACGTTCCCAGTGTGACCCATAGCCAGGAAAGTTTAATCCAAGCCACTTGATAAACAATCTGAGCACATGTGCTGGGTGGAATGATGTGAAAAAGTCAGCCAGGGACAGCAAGTGTAGTGACTGAGAGCTGGAGAGTCCTCCCAGATTCTTATCACCCATCCAGTCCCAACCAAAGTCCACAGCCCTGACAGCATTGCCGAAGAGGGACCTTCCTAGGAGTAGAAGGGAAAAGCTCTCCATAGGGAGAGAAAGGAGGCCAAGCAAGCCAGGTGAGCACAAGTGACAGGCCACAGCCACAGGTCACTTCTGAGATGGAGATTCCAGTGCAAAGTGCTTCTTATCTGCAAGTAGGAGCGTGGGAGTACCAGAGGTCTGGAGCCAGCCAGGCATCTTATGGCTCCTGGATCTTGATTCATTGTACCAAAATTATGCCCACTTCATCTGATTGCCCTTTTATTTGTTTGGGCCCATTATTCACAGAAGTTGGCACACATCAGTCAAGGCACTGTCAGAAAAATTTGGTTAGAAAAGTTCTTTGAGGGTAGGAAGCGGACCCAAGCTCGTTCCAGGTCCCTGAGTTCCCTGGGCTCTCTATAAGATTCAATTCTGGAAAATTAAAGGGTACCTTTAAATCTGCTCCCACGTCTGAGCACCAGGAAGAACTGGACATTGGCATGTAGAATATGGCAAGCACATGTCAGTGGGTCCAGCATGGTGTGAGAACACAATATCTATTTGTACCTACCATGGGCCAGGACCTGAATTGATGCTTTCTCGATCACAGTTTCTCTTTACAAAAATCCTGTAGGCTAGAAATATTTATACCCACTTCAGAGAACGGAAGAGTAGAGCTCAGAGTGGCCAACTAACTTGCTTGAGTTCACACAATGACTATGTGGTAGAGCAGAGACTTGAACCCAAGTCCAGCTAACTCTAAATCCATGATCTTTCTATTATTTTATGCTGCCGCTCATAAGGAAGTTCTTAGATTCATTTTCTTTCTGTCTCTCATAAGCTTCCACTTATTCCCATTCTCCTTTCCATGATTTTTCCAGCACTACCAAAATCATCCGTGCATGTGTTAATATATAACACACACACACATCTACATGCAGACTCACACATACCTGTGAGAACACATTTCTCTGTGCATATATATTCATGTGTGTGTCTCTTCGCTTTTAGCCATATGTGTTCTGTTGCCTTCAGAGAAGGGAATGAGGGGCTTTAGCTTTAATTTCCTCGAGGTCGTATAAAAGTCTGTTCTTAGAGAGTTGGCTTGTGGTGGTCTTCCTATTGTATGTCGGCACTTGAATAGAGAAATTGGCTCCTGTGACCAGGAAAACTACCGCACTGTAAGCATTTTTTTGAATACCTTTTCCTGGGATGGGTCTTTCATCCAGAGAAGAATATTTGTACAATCTTCCATTAATGGGGGTACACAATGATAATACCCATCAATGTACATGTCATGACCAAAAAAAAACCCTTTCTGACTTGGGCTTGATCTGGACTGCCTGAGGACAGATAGCGCACACACACACACACACACACACACACACGTCAATTGAATGGGAAAACTGTTAAATATATCACAAATTCAAAAGTATCTCAGCACCAGCAGCTAATATAAATCAGAAAAATAGCTTAGATGTGATTAATGG